AGCTTTTTTCAATCGGGAGATTTTTGTATTATTCTTTCAATTTCCTTACATGTTATGGGTCTGTTTAAGCTGTTGATCTTTTTTTTTTTTTAGTTTAGTTTTGGTGGTTCCCATGCTTTTAGATACCCATCCATTTTTTTTTAGGTTTCACATTTAATAGCGTATATGTTTTTAAAGTATTCCCCTATAATGTTCTGGGTCTTTTTGGTGTCTGTTATGATGTATCCCCTTTCATCTCTGATTTTTTTTTTTTTTTTTGATTTGGAGGTGCTCTTTCTTTCTTTTGGTTAACTGGGCTAGGGATCTATTGATCTTGTTTATCTTTTCAAAGAAACAGCTCTTGGATTCGTTGATTCTTTGTATTGTTTTCTGTGTTTCAATTTCATTAATTTATGCTCTGATTTCTATTTCTTCTTGTCTGCTGGGTGTCAGTTTCATTTGTTGTTGCTTTTCAAGGGTCTTGAGTTGCAATGTTAAGTCATTTGTTTTATTTCTTTTGACTGTCAGATGACGCCATTTATTAGTTCACACTGAAATTAGAAACCAAGTCTACAAGTCCTGTTAAACACCTCCCACCCCACCCCTCAAAAGACACCCAACGCTGCTAGAGAAACCAGGAAACAACAAAAATAAGACAAACACAATACAGAACATCTCTGTATGTTATAAAAGAGGCCATGACCCTGGATGCTGCCAACCAAGGGCACTGGGCTCAGGACAGCAGCCAATGCTGGCCATGGCTTCTGGGCTCCTGCAAGAACTGGGGCTGCTGGTTTGAAAGTTCATGCCACTGGCTGGATTGTGCTTTCAGAGGATGGAACATGCACCAAATATCTCTCTCCATTTTCAGAGAGAGAAGGTCATAGGGAGGGGATAGGAATCTCCAAAGCTTCATGGCCCATGAGAAGAGAGGTGAAAGTCCCCTCTCCAGAGAAAAGGCCCTTCATTGGACACAGTTCACCACCCCTGGGGGTCAGCACATTTGCATTTACATAGCATAAATCCCCACAGCCACTGTTGCCACCAGAAAGCTGAGGGTGAGGACCCATCGGAGGAGCGGTGCTTGGTACAGGTTAGCACTGAGCTGGAGTTTCCCTCTGGGTGTCTCTGCAGGGTGGGGTCTTGCACCCTGCTGTCGGCCCCGCTGGTGAAGGCCCTCCTTCTGTGAATGGCTCTGATCCTGGTGCTCCTTTGTCAGCAGCCTTTTCAGCTCCTCAAACAGCTCAGTGTTGAGAAGAAACACGGTCTTAGCCTTCTCTATCACCTTGTGCTTGACCTCCGGTGTCATTTCCAGAGTGTTCATGTGTGCACAGTAGAGCTGCTTGAACTTGGTGGGGCTTTTGATGTTGGGGAAGGTGAAGAAGGCCAGGGCCTCACTGGAGCTGGGCAGGTTCAGGGCCTTCTGTGCAATCTTCTTCAGGACCTGGCCCCGGAGAGGTCTCCCCAGGTAGTGGGTGTACACATGGGCCACCAGCAGCTCAGGATGTTTGTGCCCCACCTCATGGAGGCGCCTCGTGTAATGCTGTGTGGCTGAACTGTAGGGGATGGTCTTCTGCCAGCCGGGCAGTACCAGAAAGCCATGTCCTGCTCCAGGGCAGCCTTGCGGTGCAGCTCCTCAGGGAAGTAGAGGGGGGCGTAGACTGGGTTCTGCTTGTTCTGCTCAGTCTCCTTCTCCAGGGCCACGTAGACATGATACAAGGAGGCCATCACCAGCTTAAAGCCTTTCGGGGTCACCTGGTCCTTCTGAAATTTCCTCATGAACTCAGCATTCTCTGCCTGGGTATGCACCTCCTTGGTGGCTTCCTTCAAGGACTCAGACAAGTCCTGGGACATGCTTGTGGGCTGTGGGCGCTCCATTGCCGCGCTGGGCTAGCTCAGGCTGGCTCTGCTCCTGCTGGGCTGTGGGCTGGCTGGAGAAGCCTGGCTGTGTTCGGTTATGCTCTGCGGGTCATCTTTCTCATTTTTTAAAGTAGGCACTTAGAGCTATAAATTTCCTTCTAAGGACTGCTTTCAACATGTCCCAAAGGTTTTGTTGTGTTGTATTGTCCTTTTCATTTAGTTCCAGGAATACTTTTATTTCTTTCTTAATTTCTCCTATGACCCATTCATCATTCAGACGAATGTTGTTTAATATTCATGTGTTCATGTAGTTACTAGGGTTTCTTGCAGTGTTGATTTTAAGCTTTATTGCATTGTGGTCTGATAAAATGCATGGTATTATTTCTTTTAGAATGCATGGAATTATTTCTTTTTTTGTCTTTTGTATAGTTCCATGGGGCACTGGAATAGAAAGTATATTCTTTGTTGCTTGGGTGGAATATTTGGTAGATGTCTTTTAAGCCCATTTGATGTATGGTATTGTTTAATTCAGACGTCTCTCTGTTAATTCTCTGTCCTGTTGGCCTATCTAATGCAGACAATGGGGTATTGAAGTCCCTTACTATTAATGAGTTGGGATTAATCTGGGTCTTAAAGTCCTATAGTACTGTTTTTATGAAGTTGGGTGCACCAGAGTTTGATGAATATTTGTTCATGATTGTAATATCTTCTTGGTCAATTGTTCCTTTGATCAGAATGAAGTGGCCCTCTTTATCTCTTCTGATTAGTTTTAGTTTGAAGTCTATTTTGTCAGCTACAGAACTGCAATGTCTGCTTTTTTCTTAGTACCATTCGCTTGGTATTTTTTTTCCATCCTTTCACCTTAAGGTAGTGCCTGTCCTTGAAAGTGAGATGAGTTTCTTGAGGACAACAAAAAGATGGGTTTTGTTTCTTAATCCATTCACTTAGTCTGTGTCATTTGATTGGGGAGTTTACTCCATTGATATTTAAAGTTACTAATGAGGGGCTGGAGAGATGGCTCAGAGGTTAAGAACACTGATTGTTCTTGCAGAAGACCCAGGTTCAAATCCCAGCACCCACACAGCAGCTAACAACTGTGTAACTCCAGTTCCAGGGGATCTGACAGCCTCTTCTGTCCTCCACAGGCATTGTATGACATGGGTGCACTTACCTACATGTAGGCAATACACACGTACACATATAAAAATAAATAAAATAAAAAGAATAAAGTTATTAAGGAAAGATGTGTGTTGAATCCTGTCATTTTTATTTCTGTTTACATTCTTGGTGTAGCTGTGCATTTCCATAGTTATACCATCATTAAGTTTCTTTCCATAACCCCTTGGGTATAGTCACTCCATTCTTCAGCTCTTTGCATTGCTTCAAGCACTCTCTGGAGGGCTGGTTTTGTGGACATGAATTCCTTCAGCCTATTCATGTCATGGAAGATTTTTCTTTCCCTTTTGACTATAATAGACATTTTAGCTGGGTAAAGTAGTCTGGCATCTGTGGTCACTTAGAACTGGGAATACTTTGGTCCAGGCTCTTCTGGCTTTCATAGTTTGCACTGAAAAGTCAGCTGTGATCCTAATGGGTTTTCCTTTCTATGTGACTTGTTGTTTCTCTTTTGCAGCTTTTGGTATTGTCTCTTTGTTCTGTATTTTTAGTGTTTTTACTATAATGTGCTGTGGAGATTTTCTTTTCTGGTCCTGTCTGTTTGGTGTTCTATATGCTTCTTGTATTTGTATGGGCATGTCTTTCTTTAATTTGGGGAAATTTTCTTCTACAGTCCTGTTGAAGATCTGGTCCATACCATTAAACTGAGATTCTTCTCTTTCCTGTATGCCTATGATTTGTAAGTTTGGTCTTTTTATGGTGTCACACAATTCTTGCATATTCCATTCTTGTGTTTTCTTAAATTGTTCATAATCTTTGCTTCAGTGCTCTAATTCATCCACTTTATCTTCCAGTCTTGATACTCTGTTTTCCATTTCATTCATCCTATTGGTGAGGCTTTCTCCTGTTGTTTCTAATTGGCTTACTGAGTGTTTCACTTCCTTCTTTTTTTCAGCCTGTGTATTCTTCAATATTTCTCTTTTCCTAATTCCTTCAGAAGTTTATCCTATCTTCTTTCAGTTCTTTGATTTGTTTGTGTGTTTTTTAAATTCACAGAATTCTTTTATCATGTTTATAATTGTTCTTCTGAATTCCATGTCCTGTGTTATCTCTAGGGGGTTCTCATTGTACTCCTCTAGAAGACTTTTGGTACTTGGTGGGGGTATATTATTTGGATTTTTCATGTTATTACTTTTTTCTCTGTGTCTTTGATATGCATATTTTTTTGTAGTTTCTGATTCGTGTGTGAGACTCAAGCCTTCCTTTGTTGAGTTTAG